CATCATCATCATCATCATCATCATCATGTATTATCATTAAGTACATTCGTATTTGCAAGCCGCAGTGCAATTCTATATTGACATGTTATTACACTACTAACATTAACTAGGCTAACTGAATGAATACATGGCTCTGTTTTTAGCTGAAGAGAACATTTCATAATCTAGGATTGTATTATGACGTATACATGGCTCAGAATCTTATCGACTCACCATTCTGCTGTAAAGATTGGTAAACTGGTAAAGTAACCTAACACTCCTTCAAAACAGGATGAGGTGAGACATTAAGTTACATAATTAACCAAGTACAGGTCTTTGTATGCTTAGAAATACATCTGTTTTATAACACTGTTCAAAGCTGGCAGGAAATCTGAGTCAGTGTCATAACTGTCTGTTACATAACAGACTTTCCCATCAGCTAATGAACATGACAACACCATCGCTGCCAGATGCCCTCCCAACAGGATTCTCATCAACATCACATGATGAACTCCAGGAATAGGCCATCTTTGTGATTGATTACCACAAAATCTTGCATTTTTAAAAATTAATATAAGGAGTTTTCATATATTTACATGTTGTATCAGCAAATGTCTGGTACATGTGAAGTTTATGGATATTTTTGATCAGAATACTTCCATTTGATAACCCTTTTGTCAAATGTTTGAGGAAACAATTAGCCATTTGCCAATGTGCGACATCGCTGTACATGTAAAGGATCATTTCTAATTATTTTGAATATTTCAAGGCATGTGAGGAGCTTAGAACATGTAGAACTCGGGCATGGTTTAATAAATTTTCACTATGTTTTTCATGATTATGAATACAAAATCAACGTTAATAATCTTACATGTAATAATTTAGCATGCACATATTATATTATATATCTCTTTATCATGTTTACTTCTTTATCATGTTCATGTCCTTCAAACAATGCTTACGGTACATCGTCCATGTAGTCACATTACTGGCATTGCTATTGGTTTGAAGCTTAGGTGTCTTTGATTTAGCATCAACAGATCAACAATCAACAGGGGTCAAAATGTCTAATTGTTGCAGTGCTTCAAACATGTCACTTTTAAGAAATATTGTTTAGAATATCACAACAAATGGTACAAAAATGCTTTTGATGCTGTACACCCCATGTCTGAGCATCAAAAGCTTTTTTCCTATCCAACATTTTGCTAATTATTGACATTTTTAATCTTGCGGTTTGTTCTTCACTTAACAGTGTTAAAAGAAAAGTAGAAAAATGCCCAATAAATCTTCATTTGAAACAGATTATTTTCATTTATCCTTTGTGTCTGACCTACCCTGTATTTTGATAGTACATCTCAATTTCTGTTTGCATGATGTAGTCATTCTCTGTTGCTGGCTGGTAATTTCTAAGCACCATCCAAAACCAGAAACTAGTCACAGGATTAACAGTTGTAGAATCTGGTTCTTGAGGTCTTGCTGGATCAACTGTTTGAATATTTCTGTATCCAGGATATATAAAATATGTGCATTGTTGCACAGACTGTCACGATGATTGAGGTTACAAAACTTGGAATTACTTGCACTGCATTGTTGACCAACGCTTAGCTCACTCACACCATGCATGTTTTAAATACTTTGTTGAATAATTAAGCATGAATCAATAGTGTTGTCATCAATCACTGGTGATCAATAATGGATGAAGTAGTCACCATGGACACTGTGTACTGCAGTTTGTCAATAGATGTATCTCGTATGAATTAACACTTCCAAATCAGTCGATTACAAATCTATTACGCACCATAAAGCTGATGGCCTAATCTATGAGCTGTTCGTGTTAGTAGGAAAGAAGATGTTCTCCTGTTTCTTGACCATATCTTGGGATATGCAAATCATTGGAATCCTTTCAAATCAGAACAAAAGGAGCAAGATATGATGTCATTAATTGAAGAGAATACTGTTTAGTTTTAGGTTTCTGGCCTTTAGTTTGTTTGAATTACATATTGAAGAATTGTGGTACACACTCTACTCACCTGAACTCGTTTAGCATCTGTTGAGATGGATAGTCTTAACTTGCATCTTCAGGTAATTATCAGCTTTTCAAAAAGAATATTAGAATATTTCACCAAAAGACATGATAGAGGCCCAGATATTTGCGAAAATATTTTCAGTAATTTTTAATGTGTATTACAAATTTTACTTCCTGTTTGATGGGAAAATATAAAGCAATTGTTCCATTGTTTTCATTGTATGCAAAGAAACCATGGCTCTTGTGGCTATGTGACATTATTTGAATGCAGTTTTGCAAATAAGTGAGGTTGGCATTATCCATAAATCATAATGTCACTAATGATTTTATGGACTAATGTTTCAACATGGGCATGTTGAGAACATGAAACATTTTGCTTCATTTCCTTAGAAAAATGACTGGGTTATATAAAGAATTACCTAATCACGACTTGAATTACAGAGTATCAGTCCCTTGGCCCCACCAAGGCTCGGAAATATACCCATCCCTCAGAACAGGTAATCTATAAAGTATAATTCCTCATAGCTCATTGCTTACTCTCTTAATAAACAAAACCTTGGTTAATGTTGAAGGTACTGAAAGCACCTAAAACAAAATTAATTATTTTTTAAAACATGATAAAGGCGGACAGTCAATATTGTAAATCTTGAAATTAATGCATCTCCAAATTAATACAACTGCTGACCCTAAGCCAAGGATGCGACTCAGTATCAATGCGACTCCCCCCTCCCCATTGGAAAGATACATATCCTTACCTTAATCCAATCTAACACAAATAGCACCACTTCTTAGCACTGAGTAAAGCACTTCTGTAATAACAATAAACCATGTTTCTAAAAACAACACACAGTTTATGTGAACAACAATTCACAGACTGGAGTGGTCAATGATGCCTAGTTTGACACGAGTGGGTAGAACTCTTGACCCCAAAAGTGATAACCATCCAGATGCCTATTGTGTAATTCCTATACTTTAAATGGCATTGTTATGTATTTGTTACAACTGGTGCCCAATTAACCATGTTTGTGTGTATAATCAAGTTGGTATTTCCGCTATCCAATATGTGAAGTGAGGCCGTCTGATTGTTGATAGTCATTTTGGAAACATAAATGCCAAGTTTCATTAATGCGAACAAAGACCACTCACATTTAATGCCTTTCATTCACACTTAATCTCAAGATTTACAGTATTTTGGAACAAGATCTCTAATATATCTTCAAATCTGAAATATTGTAATACAAGTAGAATGGAATGTGTATGTTATAAATTATGATCATGATGATAGTTATTTATGTTGCTTCTATTCTTGTCTTTCTTGTGACACTTGTTTTCAACAACTGAGAAGATTGCCACGGTAACAACCAGAGCATGATAATTGCCTTTCTGTTGAACTCAACAATGCTTAATATGGAGTATGTACATCTACGGGATGTATATGGTTTTGATGAGACTGCTTTTGAATGTAATTTATATTGGCAGTTTTTGGCACTTTAATATTGCATTCCACCATCTGTCATGTCAAAAAGTCATCTTTTGCAGAATTGGAAAATAAGTGACCTCTCAGAATCATCTTGACAATTTATAGTACCTCAGTCTTTTGGTAAATACAAAGTACATACTTCATTGGGAAATATTCCCATGTACGGTCACTTGTACTGTGGGTCACTGTAGGGACTGGCATCTATGACTAGGTAGCCATATTTCCTGCCATCTACAGTATCATGTAATGACTCAGAGAACTGACTTGTATGTATACTTACACACTAGAAATGCATAGTGGAATTTTTGAAAAAGAGATTTTACAGAAAATAAAATAGTTTGTGTGTAGTAATGAGACCTGAAGGCATGCAACATTGCAATAATGTCTAAGTTTGAATCCTCATTCACGTTGTCATACCCGGACATGTTTTCCGTCACTTGTAACTTATAAAGTGTCAAAATCCACTGTGTGTTTTTAAATGCTTCAGTATTTAGGTGATCATGGTCATCTCACTTCTGAGTATATGATAACAGTATATAATAACAGTAACTATTTCAATCTGCTGTATTTAAGCACCATGCTAATAAAGATGGTGCTTTACCTATGTTTACAGTTTCTGGTTCATGTCTTGATTATCAATAAGGTTAATAAGGCATGTAATGTTCAGGGCTCGATTTAACTATATAAAAAAGGAAACAGTGCAACCTAATATATATGTCCACATGCACAAGGTTCATGTAAAAACATTTCAAATTTGTGTCTGACTATCCCTTACTTTTCCCCAGAAATACAGTGAACACACTCAATACCTCTAAGCTTTTTGTACCATACTAAATCACTAATCCCTGTGTTATGTCTAAATTGTCATGCTTTCTTTGGCTTGACGTCATCAAACTGGAAACTTCAATATTGTGTGCACATTACTGTAATAATTTACAGCCTTATGTCTTTAATTTATGTAAAATGATGAACAGTCATCAGAGATCTGGGATTTTATTCATTTAGACTAGTTTATGCATCTATGTTTCAACTTCGATAAATTTATGGTACCAGGGTGCATCCTGTTTATTTCTGGTGCAACTAGGTTTTTCATGTCAACATGCAACTTGTCCAAGTTATCAAGTTCCTTAAATCGAGGGGTGGTGGGGTAGCCTAGTGGTTGAAGCATTCGCTCGTCACGCCGGTGACCCGGAATCAATTCCCCACATGGGTACAGTGTGTGGAGCATGTTGTAGGTGTCCCCCGCCATGATATTGCTGGAATATTGCTAAAAGCAGCATGAAACCATACTCACTCACTCCTTAAATCTCCCTCCCTAATTTGGACCACTTTAGTCTTTTTCACAACTGATTTAACATAGACTGATCAGGAAGATGAACAACTTTTGATAATTATCATTTTATACTACATTAGTGAATTTTGGAGTTTGTTGATCCATAGACCAAGTTATGAAAAACAGCCCAGACATGTATCACTGTGAATAAGGTAATTAATATGCTATGTTTGTTGTTTCAGGGCCCTGTACAGCCCCTGCTGGATGGAGCTAAGGGCTGGCTGAATGACTTGTGCAAGGGCCTTCAGCCATGGCAGATAGTGGTGTACACATGTGGAGGCACTGTCATTGCCATAGCTGTCAAGGACTTCCTCAATGGGGAGGAAAGTAAGTCTCACACACCATTTATATAATGTAGGCAATAGTTGCCCTGTAGTTTATTTCTAATTGTTGACATATTTTTGTACAGCCACACTTGTTTGAGAAAACAATATGATCCTTCATCACCCATGAATACATATATGCTGTTCTGAGTAGTCATAAATGTTAACAAACGAATCAAGTCACCGCCTGGTTCCAGCGAGAGGTAAAACCAGCGAGTACAGAAGCACAAATGGCCATATTTCTTGTGAAGCATGTGCCACAGCCTTGTGTTTTAATATAAGGCAACGGTAGGGTTCGCACAATGTTCATGTGCTGGGTAGGGCTTTATGGCCTCCTTTCATTACTTGACTGAAAATAGACACACATTATTGCTACACCACATAGCGGCCATGTGTATTCACACGTGATGGGGGAACGTATACAAACCCTTGAAGACATGAAGTATTGACAGGGTTTTTAGGTGAACAAAATGAGGGTATAGGGAGATGTGGGCTGTTAGTTGTAACCAAGAATGAATCGTATTGTTTAAGTGGTAAGGAAGGAAGTAGCTGACAGTCACTCACTAATCACAGTGCAGCTTGTGACCTTTGATATGTTTGGCAAGTAAGATCAGTTTGATAGTTCTTTCAGTACTGACTGTAGGAAATAATATGTTAAAAGAATTCCATGAACTTCTAATGTTATCCTATTACACGAGAAAGGGAGAAAGGAATTGCTTCAAAAAGTTTCACCGCAGCAGTTTGTGTGGTCTAAATAGTTTGAATTATGTTTGCAAGGTTTACAAGTAAGGACCAAGAGGACTTTCTTCAGATGGGTGAAGAAGATCCCGTATGTAAAGAGGCAGATTGATGAAGAGCTGGGGAAGAATGTGAAAGGAATGGCGGATTCTTTGTGTCATGACACAGAGGGCTCAGCTTTTGTCCTGAACCTACCCAGAGAAGGCCTGTCAGAGGTAAAGTTTTATTTGTAACTAACTATGATGAAGAATGGTGTATATTGTGCAATTATAATATATTATGGGGCTGTGAGGTGGCCTCATGATTAAAGCGGTTGCTCATAAAGATTCTCAACATGGGTACAATGTGTAAAGCCTATTTCTGCTGTACCCCGTTGTGATGTTGCTAGAATATAGCTAAAAGCAACATAAAACCTCACTCACTCACACTCATTGGATGTTTGACAAGACTGTACTTGCTGTAGCTCACCCGAGAATACATACGGCCACATTGCAGTGTAGTCACTACATTAATCCAACACTTCAAGTGAGCTCCTGGTTCCACCTTGGGAATCCTGCAAGTGCTCGGACCAATGAGCGCACAGTGTACATTGCGTAAGCACCAATATGTTTCACTTGACTTAGTATACAAAATGTGCCTTGTGGTTTCTGCTTTACCTTTTACTTTAGTGTCAGGTTCACACAAGTTCTTGCATGGAACTGGACTAATTTACACAGTCCCTTTTCATAAGCTGACTAAAGTAAACACACTGTACCACAAAGCAGACCTTTGCATTCACAAGTGATGCCGGAACTTAGTGTATACATACCCTTGATTCATTAGCTGACTAAAGTAAACACACTGCACCACAAAGCAGACCTTTGCATTCACAAGTGATGCCGGAACCTAGTGTATACATACCCTTGATTCATTAGCTGACTAAAGTAAACACACTGCACCACAAAGCAGACCTTTGCATTCACAAGTGATGCCGGAACTTAGTGTATACATACCCTTGATTCATTAGCTGACTAAAGTAAACACACTGCACCACAAAGCAGACCTTTGCATTCACAAGTGATGCCGGAACTTAGTGTATACATACCCTTGATTCATTAGCTGACTAAAGTAAACACACTGCACCACAAAGCAGACCTTTGCATTCACAAGTGATGCCGGAACTTAGTGTATACATACCCTTGATTCATTAGCTGACTAAAGTAAACACACTGCACCACAAAGCAGACCTTTGCATTCACAAGTGATGCCGGAACCTAGTGTATACATACCCTTGAAGTATTGATGATTTAGCATTTGATGATAATAGCACTTAGCAGCCTAAAAACACAATATCTATTGGTTTGGGTTTTTTTCAGGTTGATCTTATGAAGGAACTTGAGAGATACAAGAATTTTGGTATGTAGTAGTGTGAAATATGAAAAATGTTTTCAGTTTGAAAATAACGCTATATTTTATTCCCATATTTGTGTTATGTTTGGTTTTATATTGTAAATGTTCAAACTCATCTTACATTTATACAAAGTTTCCCTCAACATAACCAGTGGCATTATGGCTGTCGAAAAGATTTATGTATCTTTAAGGTGGTGGGGAAGCCAAGTGGTTCATATCCCCTTATTGGTTCTCTGTATGAATCCCATTGTTCATGTTCTTGGTACCCTCATCTGTGGTATTGCTAAACAATGCTATTAGTGTACTTATTAAAAACTCGTCTTCAAGTAAGCAATATTTTGACCAACAGCTAAGATCCCGTGGGAGAAGGGCATGGTGTCTGGTGCAGTCTACAGTGGTGATCCTGTGCTCACAGAAGTCATGATGAAGGTGGGAAAAATGGAAACAAATATAAATTTATCTTGTTCATAATAGTTGAATTATTAAGCATTATCCATAAACTACCAGCATGTAAAGTATGCCTGTCATAAGAGACAACTATTTAAGATCGGTTGGTCAGGTTATGGACGTTTGTATTGTATGATATGGTCCCATTCTTTGCAGTATGGAATGTAATCTTTCACCAGTGCTTCCTTATGGTGATCCCTGTAGATTGTATGTTTCTAATGCAGGCCTACAGTATGTTTGCATGGACCAACCCACTGCATCCCGAGGTCTTCCCAGATGTGAGAAAGATGGAAGCAGAGGTAGTCAGGATGACCTGTTCCATGTTCAATGGCGGCCCTCAGTCTTGTGGAACAGTGAGTTACTATCTGTTTGTAGTGATTCTTATCATGAGCTTTTCAGGGGTGAAGGTGTCCCAGTGGTATTAGGCTCTGCAATGCACTGTGCAGAGATATGTCCCTTGGCCATATCAGAATCCTGGGTTTGAATGGGTCGTAATGATGATACTTGGTCTTTCAGCTGTACGAATGTGCTCATGAATTTCACCAAAGTACTAAATGTCCAGTACATGAATCACCTTTTTAGCCCCAAACAACAAACTGACACACCATGCTGTAACTGAAGTACTGTTCAATGCAGCATTAAGTCAAACTCACTCACTATCACAAGATTGTCAAGACAGATGTTTAGCAGAATAGTTGCTTATTATGTCAACTACTGGTTTGTCTGGCCCAGACATGATAATATGGAGGCTGCGGTGATACAGAAGGAATATTACTGACTGGGTGCAGAACAATATTCACTCACATTTGTACTACACTGTGACTACAGATGAGCTGCGGTGGGACAGAGAGCATCCTGCTGGTGTGCTTGGCTTACAGGAACCTGGCCAGAGAGGAGCGAGGGATCAAGTTTGCAGAGATGTATGTAGTGCCACCATGGGCTTTGTATCCTGTGTATACATGACTCCTAACCACTGATGCATCTTTATAGCTATTTGTTCTGCAGTGTCAGAATCTTTCATTGATGTAGGTGGTTTCCTTAAATTAATGAATTTCATTTTTAATGCAAAATCAAATGATCAGTGATATATGTGTAAGGAACATTGCTAACGTCTCAGGTAATGTTAGAGTGTTTCTGTTATCGGTGGCTGCATATTTACTGTTGAGGAAAGTTTGACATTTTGAATGTTTATGGAACAGGATTCCCATTCATTTATCTTCTTTTCAGCATTGTACCTGTCACAGCTCATGCAGCTTTTGATAAGGTGAGTTTATGTTAAATATCAGTGAAGACAGTGAAACAAAGCATGTTTTATCAATATAGTGGATGGTCTTAAATCATTCATGGCCCATTAACAACCACCAATATATCTGCTCGGTAATATATTTCACACACCTAACCAAAACATATATGCAAAAGAGTATGAACTGAAAGCACTGTTTTAGTTCTGGTTTTAGTATTATTATGACATGATGTTATTCCATTAAGGGGGGCACGGGTGGCCCAGTCGTCTAAGGCCCCGTGATTCACTGTGCAGAGTTGCGTCCCATGGGCACGCCAGAAATCTATGATTGTGGGTTCAAATCCCGGTTCGCCCAAATTATGTTTCTAGGTTTATCAGCACCATACCTGTGCTCGTGGGTTTCACCGAAGTGGTAAATGTCTGAGACCTACATCACTTCGGCTTTCCTCCCACATTAAGCTGCGATATAACTGGAATACTGTTAAAGGCGGCGTTAAACCCAACTCACTCACTTTTCCACTAAGTGACTTTGGTGCATCAAGGTCTGCGTATAGGTTAGACCACTCCACTCATAATATGGTTATGAAAACAATGAATAACATTTTAGGTGCTACAGTTCTTCAACAGAATGTTGACCATGGTTCAGGTTAGACTACTTGGATCTGATTTTAAATTTTTCAAATGGTCAGTTAAACCCCAAGGTGTGAAGCGATTAAACAATGGGTCCAAGTAGTCTAATCTATGTGAACCATGGCCAATAATCATTCAAAGAAATATAGCATCTAAAATGTTTTACATTTTTTTAACCATATTTGAAAGGATATTCAAGAACACCTAACTTCACTGCGAGGACACTGTGGGTTGCTCCTGTTTAATGCACATGTATATGTGTTTCCTGTGCCTCTTGCATGTGCGTCTCGCTCTTTGGCAACTCTGGTTAGGAAATTTATGTTCCCGGGCAAGTTTACAATTAAAAAAGAACCATTGAACTCAAGCACATATATCAATCAACTAAATATTACTTGCCAATGTTGATGGGCCTATTATTTATGAGCAAGCATATCCCTGATTAATAATTTGTTAGCCTTTAGTGCAGATTTACCAGGTTTGAATCCATGCTGTGACACATATCTTTTGATAAAATTGTTCTATCATCAAGGTAAATGAAAAAGGAACAAATGAAGCTCCGTCTTTGCCAAGTGCTGTTGACTAACAATTCAGTGGTCAAAGACAAAGGATCCATGATTTAAATTGATATATTGAATTAGGATAGTTTATGGAACAGATCTGGGACAAAGATGCATTGTGTTATGATCATGATGACTTAATGTCTGTTCGTAGGCTGCCCATCTTCTCCACATGAAGATCACACACATTCCCGTGGACCCAGAGACCAAGAAGGCCAATGTCAAAGCCATGAGGAGAGCCATCAGCAGGAACACTGTCATGGTGAGTGCTTTACTCCTGTAACAGATCCCATACAGCATAGAAAAATAATTCAGTGAAAGCTTTTTAATGCCAGTCAGCTATATACTGTCTTTTTGATGCCTGACTGTCAGTAACAGAGTCATGACAAGGCAAACAAGTGACTGGAATCATGAGCATCATTCCAAGCTGTTTGAGCATGACTCACTAATCAATCCAAGTATTACAGTTGCCTCTTACAACCAGTCATGATGTAGTTGGGACCTATTCTAAAAGGGGTTTCCATTAAGTAAAGAAATAGTTTATAGTTTATTATGTGTTTAGTTACAACATACATAATAAATAAAACGTTTGTCATTTTTGGTAGACGAGAGATGTATATTTTATCTTGTAAGCTGAGCATATGTATTCAAGGGTAATGGAGGCACGTAGTGTTTCAAACTCATGACGTATTCATGAAGATTTATTTGTTGATGTCTGTTTTAAATATGCTGTGTATTTCAGCTTGTTGCATCAGCCCCTGGTTTTCCACATGGAGTGATCGATCCAGTGGAGGAAATTGCTGCTGTAAGTTTATGTCACGAGTAGTGTATTACCAGAAGAGAGAAGGAACATTATTTTCAAAGGGACATAACACTTCTAACATCACTGGTGATGTCCCTTTTCTAACGTGTATGGCTCATGGATTGTAGAGAAGCATGTTCAACACTATTTCAAATGATACTTTTCATCACTAATCTTGCACTGATGATCACTACAAGAACTTGCCTGCATTTATAAATGATAGTTAAAAGCTATGGTCTTAGTACTGCTGCACAGTGCCAGACAAAAATATTACGTACTCTTTGACATTTTATTATAGAAATCTGAATGGTTCAGCAAACCCATTTTGTCTGTTCAGACAGTATATATAATGCCCAAACAGGGAAATTCAAATACTGCACAAAAAGGTTAAAGTCATTGTCACACCTTGCACATGTTAAGGGATTTGCCCTTTTCCTTGGCTAAAGGAATATCTAATTCATGCAGTCATTTTAGAGTTAAATAGCTACGTACAATGATGTAATGAGGTTGACTCTGAAAGGTGCTGTATGCATAAGCCCTGTTGATTATATGTTTATGTTTTAATTTCTGTATATACATAGATACTTTTATGTAAAATGTGTAACTAGGCAGTCACTCTCATATTCACCAATATTCAGTATTAGAAATTATGGGATTCCTGGGCTCTTTGGGGTTTTCTTTCGTCATTCAAGTTTGGGAACCACTGAAAGATATTACTTATGCTTCTTAATTTCTAATATTGATTGATAATTATTGCTTGTTGACAGCTGGGCAAGTACTACAACATTCCTGTTCATGTAGACAGTTGCCTTGGTGGCTTCTTGATCCCCTTCATGGGGAAAGCAGGCTTCCCACTGGCTCCATTTGACTTCCGTGTTCCTGGGGTTACCAGTATATCTGCAGACACTCACAAGGTAGGTCCTCAAGTGTCTGTAGTGTTGTCTAAATATCATCAATATGATTATCAAATCAGAAAGGTTTAGGCACATAAACACAATGAATATTTGTGAAACATTAGCTCCGTTGTTGATACTTACAACTCTTGGTTTAGCAATAAAGCAGTTATAATAAACCCAAATTGTTAAACTTATCCTATCTCACAATTTGCATTTCTTCCTTCTTGTTGTGAAAAGAGCTTGAACAAAGTTTCCAGCTGAACACATACCAGCAAACTTGAAAAAGTGAGGATGGGTACAGAATGATGTTCTCAGAGTTCCCACCTCTTGGAGGAAGCCTTTACTTTGTACTTACGCAAATTCCACAAACGTGATGTTGACCGCCGGTTGAAGTCCAGGGATGTTGTACATGCGCCTTTCTCTGCTAAGAAGCCCAAATGAGACACCAAGCCAGCTGTCCCCAGGTCCAGGTCCATTATGAAACCACCTTCGGCGTCTACCGTACCCTCCTTGTTGGTGGAAAATGATGGTGTCTCGGATGCTTCCTCACTGACAATGTTCCTGCCAAGTCAACCCAGATGTCTGTCCCCACTGTGCCTGTTTCTACATCTACGTTGGAGCGACCAGCAGCCTCGGAAATCTGCATGGTCCTCTCTAAGGACGGTACGTCTAAGCCAGCTTCAACAGCCCCTGCTGTCAATCTTCCTAGTGGTCAATAGCCATCAGTTGCCAGTCGCTTGTCAGGTGATGTTCCAGTGACAGTTTCATCTCGGTACACAGTTGCTCCAAAGTTGTCGGTACTGGTTTCTACTTCTTCTTGGGTCGATTGCCCTAGTTCGTCTTCTACTTCTACTAAGTAACCGCAGAGCCAGGATCGATCTCACAACTCAAACAAGGATTGGCGTGCTTCCTCTAAGAGTCTAAGATCAACCTACTTGGGATCATTGCTCTACGTGGGTTCAAGTCTTCCACCAGGTGTGCCGTCTCCTTCACTGCTTCCAAGGACGTTGGTGAGTCAGCCAAGCCATGCGACTCGCCCTCTAAGTGACTCACATTAGCTATGGGTTGACTGGGAACTTCTGCCCCTAGTCGAACCAATCGTAGACTCCTGCAGACAGAAGAACCGTTTTTTCAGAGAATTGTTCAATCCTGGCAGACACCTTCTTCACGCTCCTCCTACGGAATGGATACAGGCTGCCATTGATAGGATCTCCTTCAAAAGCCACACCCCAATCAGCAAGAGCATTCGGCTTGCCAGCTTTCAGCTCTACAAGAACAATCGGGATGTTGATTTCCAAACATTCTATAGATTGTCGATGTCAAGACCCAGATACCCTGTGATTTTACTCGCCAATCTTCCCGGTCCCGAAGAAAGACAGCATCAAGCTCTGGATGATCTTCAACATGAAGACATTCAGTGCATTGTATCTTGATGATACACCACATTTTTGCATCCTTGAACTTCAAGACTCATACCTACACGTACCCATCCATCACGAACACTGCTCTTCCCTCAGGTTCATTTTCCATGGCCATCATTACCAATGGAAGGTGTCTTTGAGCCTTACATCGATGATTGCATTCAGGTCTAGGCAGATTCAGACATCCTCGAGGGACATCTGGAGTTTACATAGCAGCTTCTTCATCAGCTAGGTTGGCATGTCAATGTTACAAAGTCTGAGACAGCACGCACAACAATGTGTCCAGTTCTTCAGGGCTCTATTCGACACCACACTGGGCATGATGTTCGTTACCCCGGACAGGTGGTCAAAGATACAACAGGTCGTGCTGCTGGCACTCAGACAGCCCCTACCTCTACACCAATGGCAACAGCTGCTAGGTCTTCTGACATCAGCACATGTGCTTACTCAAAGAGGTCAACTTCAACTTTGACTGATCCAGTGCTACCTGAAGCCCTACCTCCAGAGCAACAATTGCCAGGTCCCAATCTCCCTACCGATTGCACTGCATCCGCATCTTCAGTCATGGTTAGTGATGTCAAATGTTTTCACTGGAGTCAATGCATCGTCTATGGGCTGGGGCGTGCACTTCCATGATCTACAGGTGGCAGGGCGCAGGTCTATCGAAGAAAAGCGACTCCATGTCAAACTCGAAATTTAAGGCAGCCATTCTGGCGGTGTCCCACTTGGCAGAGTCCTTCATGCATCACACCTCATGGGCCAATCGGGCAAACAATCAGTCATCTGGTATATCAACAAGAAGGGCTCCACCAAGTTGATGTTCTTGTCACTGATGATCAAATTCTTCCATTTGATTGAGTCCCTGAATGTTCAGACCCAAGTGAGGCACATTGCCAGGATCAACAATGTCATAGCCAACTCCCTGTTCTGACCCAACCAACCGTCTCTGATAGAATGGCGTCTCCACCAGATGATTTTTAGGTGGATCTGCCAACTTTTCCCAACCCCAGACATTGACCTCCTCGCAACCAGGTTCAACACTCAATTACCATGGTTCATCTCTCCCAACTCAGATCCTCAGGCATGGGGCCACAACACTCCACGCCTACACTTTTCCCCAACCAGCATTCTACCAAGGGTCATTCAGAAGGTGGCATCCACCAACCAACTTCGACTGCTTTTGGTCGCTTCCTTTTGGCCAAAAGGAATGCTCCGTATCTACCTCGAGGCTGCACAACCACATCGGTGCACCTGCAAGAAACTCTTCACCCCACTTTCAACGGCGGCCATAAGGAAGTCTCCTTTTTGCTTTGCTGTGACATTGCCTCCACCTTTGACATCCAATCCACTTGAGACTCGAGCCATTATTATTCTGGTTCCCAGAATGAGTACCCAGTGGAGGGTGAGCTACCTTAGCTGTAGAGACTGCGGTCTTCAACACTTCAGAATGACCTTTCATCAGACTCATCAAAGCGTTGCTTACCAGATCATGAAAGTGACAGTCGGAATGTGTTTTCTAATCATGCAACCTCAAAAACGTTAACACGGGGTATTCCGAACGACAGTTACGACGACTGATACTGTCAAAATTATCGTCTATCTCTTGCTTCCGTGGGATAAACATTTGAACGGAGGAGGCTTTGCACTGTACATTGGAAGCACTGCCATACAATCTCAACCATATATTAGACAATCCGGAATGTTCGAATTTTAGTCGAGAACTGTGTCATCATATTTTTCAAGCGGATTCGGAAGTTGCCAGGTTGAAACTAGTCCCGTAAAACTAAAAAAAGCTGCTTTCTAATTGGCTGATGTTGACTTCTTGTTTGTCATTTCAGTGGTCAGTCAAAGTTTGCGAAAGGTCGTTCTGACATGACCTGTAATGGGATGTCCTCAGATCTTTGTTAGCGGCAGTGAGAACTTAGATCTGATTTTAATGAGATTGCTCTTATGACAAGCATAGTCGCCTTTTATGGCAAGCTTGGGTTGCTGAAGACCTATTCTACCCCTGATCTTGGATAATGAGGTGAGGTGGCAGGGGTAGTCAGGTGATCATGTCCTGTAAAGTCACACCAGATTACAGTGCGTGACCCAATTGATGGGTAGGTGTCCATGGTGATGCTGGGATGTGTTCAGGGGAAATGTTTTTAGTAGCTGGAAACTTTGTTCAGGCGTGTTACCACATAAGGATCGAAAGCAGAAGGAAGAAATGCATAGTGTGAGATAGGATAAGTATGTAAATATACAATGTAGCATTAAATAATTTTAAATTTACAATTTTTATCCTTAGCCAATGGTAAGAATATCATTATATATGATCTTTATTTAAGATAGAACAAACATATTTGATCAACTCTTGCTTTAATTAACCATAATTATTTCAGTGTGTGAATATTTCTCAGCCTTATTTCATTCTGTTAGTGACAGTGTCATGTATGTTATTTCAGTATGGCTATGCCCCCAAGGGTTCCTCAGTGATCATGTACAGAGAAAAGAAATACCGCAGCTTCCAGTTCTTCAACCAGCCAGACTGGCCTGGTGGCATCTATGCATCACCAACTCTCATGGGTATGTGTGTTGAGTAATCAGATCTCTGTTCAGATCAGAATCGCCTTGATTGAATTTTCATTGAGGGAAGTTGAGGGACGTCCAGACCTAGGGTATCATCAAGGCTTGTTCTCCCAGCCTTTAACATAGCTGGCCAACATTTAACAGTATAATAGCTAGGGCAATTATCCCCATACACTTGGGACATGCGGTCGTGAATTTTCTTAGGGAGTACTTTTCTCTAACATGTCTAAAGTCAGAAAAAGTCTTTTCCATTTCCATGTCCATTTGGAACCCCCTCACGTTCAACTGGCTGTCACTAATATACAAACAGCCTCAACAGACCAAATACACTTGCGGAAAACCACTCGAACAATGTACAACATTGAATAGTTCACTTTGTTATGACCCAAAGTTGAAAGTTAGTCAGGCTTAGAACTTTTTGACCAGCACTTGTATACCTGAAATACTGTTCAAAATGTCTGTTTCAACTCCCTCAAATCTGGTTTTGTTCCTCTGCTTGTTGTTGCTCATTCAATGAACCATGTGAATATATTAACTGAACTGGTGCTTGTGGACTCATGCCCAAGCAAGAAAATACAATGAGTTCTCTACAATGTTGTTTTGTTTGTTTATAGAATCAATTGACCAGAGCATTTAAAATGAGTTTAAATTTAATTTCCTTCGTCAATTTATTTTTCTTAATTAAAACAATACAACTTCAAACTAATTAGTCAAATTAGAATGTGTTCCAAAGCGTTTCCGAATACTTGATTGCTATTATTACTCACAGGCAGCAGAGCAGGAGCCATAATTGCAGCTTGCTGGGCGACTATGATGTACATAGGAGAAGATGGATATGTAGACTCCACCAGGAAGATCATCAATGCCACCAGATATCTGGAGGAAAAGTAGGTCCTACTTAAGCCTTAGCATAATAAAAGCATTAAATGTTGAGTCTAGTTAAAGTTCCAAGATGGCTCTGCTCTTGCATCACTAAGTTGGACCAGAATCCTTTGATTATAGGTTTCCAATCCTAGATTTACCTGGCTTACCTGATTCTTAGTATACTACTCAACATTGGATAAGTACCTAAATGATCATCTTTTTTTGCCAAAGGTGTGGTTCTTTGCCAATCTTGATTGATATAAACAGCACCATACCCGAGCTTGCATGGTGAGAATCTAACAGCTGCATCACTTTTGGTTGTCCACATTAGGCTGATACAATTAAAATATTGTTCAAAGCAGCTAAATTATATTTATTTGTCTGTATCAGGTTGCGTAATATCGATGGACTCAAGTTGATTGGGAAACCTGATGTGTCTGTGATAGCAATTGGATCAGATAAGTTCAACATCTACAGACTGTCTGATGCACTGGCATCCAAGGGCTGGACGCTCAACCCTCTACAGTATCCTCCCAGGTGACATATTACTGAAGTTACTCATATGTTTCTGTTTCATTTTTGAATTAGCATGTTCACTATGATCCTGAATATATCCAGTTTGTCGATCAGTGTGCAGTTATCCAATGGAACCTTACACTCTTAGTCATAGGATCTATAGAAATGATGGCTGTCAGCTATCAGCCAACTTGAATTTTATGTTTTTCCATTTACGGTTGGATTGTTTCCTACACAGAGACAATGCATATTGAATTTCGCAAAGTATATAACATCAAGATGGACTGAATTGGGCATCATGCCATGTTTAAGCTGAATCTGGATTTATATATGTTAGAATCAATACATTGACATTATCTAGGGAGTGAAATTCGGGGAGTTGGGATGAGATGGGGTGGGAGGTTGTCTGGGATATTTTCAATCTGATTAAAATCAGATCTTATTGCTTGCTACCGCTACACAAAGATTTCAGGACATTCCAGCTTTCTTTAGCTTTATGGCACTAGTTTCAAAATAGCGACTTCCATTCCAGACTATTCTTGGGAAAATATTTTGTCGAAGTTCTCAATTCAAAATTTGAAAATGGAATAAACGAACATTCTCGAATGTGTTTGCCAGAAATAGTTTCCTTTTCTCATCTTCATCAGTTGAGTTTTGGGAAAGAAAAAAGCCTTCTCTTGGTTGTAATGTCATATGGGATCGCTCTTTACGTTCTAGCGTGCACATTTGTGTGACTTTGCTGCACACCAAGGATGGAGTGATTGACAGCTTCGTGAATGATGTGGGCACTATGACAGCCGAGATTATGAAAGACCCAAATGCCAAAACTGGAGGCGCAGTAAGTACTTCCATCAGAACATCCATACACTATGCTAATAACTACATTAAGTTGGATAGGGATAGAGATGTTTTTCATACCTTATTTACATACCGTATTCGACGTAATAAGCGCCCACAGCGATATTTGCTAATATATTGGCTAGTGAACAAACCCAATTAGCACCCCTTCCGATTGATCAATGTACACAAGACTTATTTATTCGCGTATTATACGCACTCATGTGTTATATGCACCCTTAATTATGGGCAAATACATTCTGGAAAAATATATCTGTCGTATATAAACATATCAGGCTGTCAGCATAAACCACGAAATTTATCTTTTAACTCTGTTTTTTTCACCAAAATAATATTCTAATAAGAGCCCCCTATTTCTAATTTTGAGAGCGCCCTGGGCGCTTATTACGTCGAATACGGTATATGAGTAATTTAAAAAAACTGTATGGTTTACGCTTACTGAAAAGGTATTTGCACATTTTTCATTAAATTTGATTTGGACCTCCTCTAAGAATGGCTTCCATTTTGAAAATGATTGGGTTTAGATTAATCAATGATCAAACTCGAGGCCGTGACCTGCATTAGGACATATGCATTTAGACTTAATTAATTTTTGTTGATAATATCTCTTTAGCTATTGTTTCATATGCATTTAGACTTAATTCATTTTTGTTGATAATATCTCTTTAGTTATTGATTCATATGCATTTAGACTTAATTAATTTTTGTTGATAATATCTCTTTAGCTATTGATTCATATGCATTTAGACTTAATTAAGTTTTGTTGATAATATCTCTTTAGCTATTGTTTCATATGCATTTAGACTTAATTCATTTTTGTTGATAATATCTCTTTAGTTATTGATTCATATGCATTTAGACTTAATTAATTTTTGTTGATAATATCTCTTTAGCTATTGATTCATATGCATTTAGACTTAATTAAGTTTTGTTGATAATATCTCTTTAGCTATTGATTCATATGCATTTAGACTTAATTAAGTTTTGTTGATAATATCTCTTTAGCTATTGATTCATATGCATTTAGACTTAATTAAGTTTTGTTGATAATATCTCTTTAGCTATTGATTCATATGCATTTAGACTTAATTAAGTTTTGTTGATAATATCTCTTTAGCTATTGATTCATACATTTATTTTGTTTCACAGGCTGTCATATATGGCATGGCTCAGAGCATCCCTGATCGCACCCTCGTGTCTGAGTTGACACGGACATACCTGGAACTGTGTTACGACACATCCCTCACCTCAGTGTCTACCAATGGACATAGTATCCCCAATGGAAACTGACCTGAGAATGAATCAACAGTGACAGTACCTCCCTTCCACGTCTGACATCGACCATACACTCAGTTATCTTGCAGTCGGATTACTGCCTCTGCAGTTGGTTATGTTCTCGATTCACTCATGCTTTGTTAAATTGCATTTCCCTCTACTCTCAGAATGATACTTTGTTTCAGTTTCTTGTACTGTTAAACAATATCTACCTTTATTTTTTGCTTGATATGTTATCACATATTTTATGAGAATTCAAATAATAAGTCAAATACATATTTAATTACTCAAAATGTTGATCCATTCGGTTATCTTTTTGTTAGTATTTTTTTCAGAAATTAGAAGTGACCAGCTGTTTACACATAAATTGGAACTTTTCTTTCACAGTTTTAATTTCAGCTTATTTGTTTAAGAGTAGGATATCGCCTTTACATACAACATTTTAATATAATGAACTTTTTACGAGTTTGGCCAACAATGCAATGTGTACATAGTCAACAAATATGTTCATACTATTTATATATGTATACACATTTGAACAAATGCTTATAGGTCTTTATATATTGTATGTTTTACTATGTGAGAGGGAAACTGTTTCTAGTCGGTGTTGGGCGAGGCAACATATTTTCTGTACAAGTAAGGTTTATCAGTGTATAGGAATTTCATCTGGAAGTGCAGACTTTGTAGAATTATTCCTTTAAAAGCATTTGAAATAAATACTGTACACCTTTTTAGCTGAATACTTCTTTTTAAAACTTTTTCATTTTAAACATTACACAAGGACAGCCTTCCCCTTACCAATTCGTTAATTAGATATCAGCAAGTCTTGTCATAGCTGAAATACTTAAATAAGGGGTGCGTTGCAAAGTGCCAATCGCTTGCAAGCGATGTACAGCGATTTGCCTTACAACAGTGCGTTAACTTTCAGCCGCTTGCAAGCTAAACAATCGCCATTTTGAAAGAGTGCGCAAGGGCTTCGAACTGTTGCAGACCCCGAGATGAGCGATTAATTTGCTTTCTCTAAGCGATTTGTGTCTTGCAACGCGCGCAAGGTAAAATATTATTAGTAATTGTGTTACAGTCAAAAGAAAGTCTACTTTTAAATTATTGATATGCAGAGATTAAATATGACAGTTATTAAGTGCTCCTCCCCCAAAAACAATCAGAGGAAATGTGTCAGTAATGCATGTTCATGTCATTGATGAACTATGACTTAGGATTATGTCACAGACCAGACCAGGGCCCACTTGCACAAAGCGATCTTAGCCCTAAGACTATTGTAAGCCTATGTTAAAGTATGGGAGCTACGATCATCTTAGCGCTAAGATCGCTTTGTGCAAGTGGGCCCTGGACAGCAGGGAGTATTACCATCTAAATATTGATAACTCTCACTAATTTACCAGTAAAACATTTACGACACATTTGTTAATCACTGTCATTACTATGTTTATCCACACAGGAAATATAGTGTAGTACATATCAGATAGTTATAAGTGTCCATACTCTTCATGTCTAAGGTATCATTTAACGTCTTTCTGGCTTGATGCTAAACTGATACTGGATAATCTGATCTCTCATGACTATAACCACTGTCTGTATATCAAGTCTATACAATTGTCACATGCTATATTGTACAGCGTTTATGATGTATGCACACAAATGAGAACTGGCATCAATGCAGTGTTTGCAATTACGCCTGGGTGATAATCCTAATGTTACAAATTCATAGTTTAGGGGATACATAGGTTAAAATACTTGATAATTATAAATAACATCATAAAAAATCAAGGACCCCAGAATCCGTCTGTTTTCTTATATTGGTGTGTTTGGGGGAGTTTCTTTGAGTATGTTTTGATCTACTTGGTTTACAGATTCACTGAACAATTCACAAATGTAAAATATATGAGTGGATTTTTTTTCCATGAGTAGTAATCATTGTAATTGAAGAAAAATTAAAACTAGGTCTAATGGAGAACAAAGAACTTTAGCTTTCATTTATTTTTATCATCCAACTATATTTGTTCCAAAGATTTTATTATGATTCTTATTTCAACAACGAACCCTGTGGCCCCAGAAATATAATAAGTAGACCATGTTATAAATATAAGAAGGCCTTACTGAACTTATGGTATGTTTTCAGGTTTTATTTCCTTAAATCACAATTATCTTGTGACATTCTTTAGTACAAATCATCTAAGTATGGCGACAGATGTATTTGATAGTGATGAAGACTAACTCTGGCTGGATGGGGCATTTCAATTTATCATGTCTATACTATCTTAACATTTTGTATTGAGACACAAATACTTGTTTGCTTCGTGCATCCCCAAGCCTAATGGGTGTGATCTATTGTAGCTTGTTTTTAAAACCACGAACAACTTTTGGGCTTTCTTAACTTCTGACTGAACAAATATGTATATGGGAAGTGCTAATGTAGTTTCTATATATAATATGGGAAGTGCTAATGTATGTTCTGTATATAAACTGTTGGTCCTTTGGACTTATGTCAACTGAGTCATCAGGGATGAAACCATGGAGATTAACAGATGTTTTTCCCAGTCCACATATATAAAGCGATAAAATATATTTAAGGACATTGATTCTGTAATATCAGATTGTGCTAGATTTATACTATAGAATATGGAGACGGCAGAAATTAGCTGCATACATTGGCATTACAAATTCTATAGAAGAATAGTTACTGTCTACAGGCAGTGTACAGCCAGTTTGGTAGCAATATCAACCGCAGCCATCATCCCTGAATTGTGTCGGCAAAAAGAATCAGTACAGTATTTCCAGGCACCAGGCACCAGACAGCCAGTTTGGTAGCAATATCAACCGCAGCCATCATCCCTGAATTGTGTCAGCAAAAAGAATCAGTACAGTATTTCCAGGCACCAGGCACCAGACACAGCCATCCCTCAGTTTGGTGGCATCATCAATCACATGCCATTATCCCTCTGATAACAGCTATCTGCAGTTTTATAGAATATACATGTTGAGGGTGAATAGAAGGTATGGTGAAGATGTGTGTGGTAGTGAGAGCAAGACTGCTTGTGATATTAATGTTGTTGGTGTGAAACTGATGTAGTAGATGTGGTGAAGGCCAGTAGGGATCTTTTCAGGGCTCGATTTAGCTATATAAAACATGCACCAGTGCAACCTATTATTGAAATATGCAACCTAATATTTATGTCTACTTGCAACAAGTGCATGTAAAAAAATTAATGTGGGACTAACCCTTAATTGTTCATACAACTTCGATCTTTGAACACGGTACCCCTAGCTTTATTTACCGTACTATATCACTAATCCCTGTGTTATGTGGAAGTTTTCATGCTTTCTTGGGTTTGATGTCATCAAACTATGGACACTATAAGATTATGTACATATGTGCCTATAACATTTATAGCATTGCATCATTAGTTTACTGTAACTGGCACCAGACGGCATATGTATAAACTTTGTTAAACTTAAGGGACCAGGGTGCAACCTGATTTTGTCTGGTGCAACTAGGTTTTCATGTCAACAGGCACCTGGTTCAAGTTAAATCAAGTTCCTTAAATCGAGCCCTGCTATTATGATGGCTGTACTTCCAAACAAGGCTGTTGAGACCTTGTCTGTGAAAATGTTTGCAGCAAGGTGTATCTTCATTGTTCTACCTCTGTCGATGGCAGATTGTGATAATCTGAATAACAGCATCAGAAACATGCTATTGTTGAATAAATCACCATCATCATATATGTGTCCGTGTCATTTGAAACTTTCTGTAATAGCCAGCACCTGTGGATACCCTTTGTTAGAATTGTCCATGCTCCTGCTCTGTGATTTTGTTCATTGCATGCCATCGTAACCTGACTGTGGATTGTTGCTCATTATATCAATCACTGGATTGACTGGTCCAGACTCAAATTATTTAAAGGCTGCCCTCATATAGCTGGAATATTGCTGATTGCAATGTTAAACAACAGATTATTATTGTTAGAGAAGACTACACATTTTTCATATTCTAAGTTAAGGGTTTGTCAAGTGACAGTAAATATTGAACCTGACCTGTATCCCTAAAGTAGACTATTTTGTGGAATTGTGAAATGTCAGTCTTCATTTTAACTTGCCTGAACTGGAAGTGCTGATATGGTACATGTTTGTCATCTGTTGGTGGTAAGCTCTTGCTTTTTGACAACTCCGAAAGCGCACGAAAATCATCTTCCCTGGACAAGGTAGTTAACTTACTTTAAAAGTCCAGTTTCCACCCTTGCTGAACTAGGCTGGAATTATGGAGTGATGTTTTGGCTGGACTAATGAGTCTATGCACAGTCCAATCAAAATCACGTAATGAAATTGACATCCGGTGCGTAAACTGTCGTGTTTATTTCAGTTGATTACAGGATTTGCAAAGCATGTTTTTGTTGTTTAAAGCCGCACTCATCTATATGATAGGCAAAGCATGTGTACCACCAACTCGGCATCACCATATATTTTCCACATGTTTTCAAACAAGGTGCTCACGTGATTTGATGCACTTCGCAAAGTAAGACCCTTTTTATCACTATATAGATTTTTATTATTGATCAGATCATCTTGACTGGGCACCACCATTTTGTTTGATGCAGTGAGGGGGGCAAGTCATGTGAGAGGCAGAATCTGATCGGTCAATAGGAGAGACATAGAAGGGACATAACTCGTAATAGCCACTGGTGGCATTATGATCAAGCCCAGCCTAGTCCAGCGAGGGTGGAAAGTGGACATAAATCGTCAGTTAACAAACTCCCTTGCCTGGGGAAGATGGTAAAATTTAAACTTTGCATTGATTATCCCAAATAGTCCACAGAATTCTGATCCTACAGGTCTCACCAGGGTGACCATATTAGAAAATCTTCAAAATGTCATTTCTCAAAATTCTCAACCATTTCTGCATGTATAATTTACAATTAACATTAGGCACAACAAGTATGCTGACTACTCAGTTATGTGTTTTGTTGTGTATTTTGAAATTTGGGGTAACTTTGGCCTTTATGTACTGCTGTGGCTTCCAAGGCAATTATGTGTGGGAAACATTTGATCCTCCAATCATCCAGTTCCTAATGTATCAGTTTAGTTTACATGTCCAATCTCATTAAAATCAGATCTTTTACGCTGATTTGTTACCTTCTCTCAAGAGAAAGGCATCTAATCATAGTAATGGATCTGGTTTTAATGAGTGAGTGAGTGGGGTTTAATGTTGCTTTTAACAGTATTCCAGTTATATCATGGCATGTCAGTTTAATGTGTGAGGAAAGCCTGAAGTGATGCAGGTCTCAGATGTTTATCATTCTGCTGTGCTCATGGAACGCAACTCTGGACATCGAATTGTGGTTCCTTAGACGTGCCCCAACCAAGGTTAGATGCCACATGCATACTTTTATGTACTTTGCATTTTTTAGCCACTTATTGAAGATTGTAAGGAGAGCATGTGTGCATGAATTTTGCCCTGTTGGTGGGTGTTTCAGTTATCATTGTTCCAATGACCCGGGATTCGAACTCGAAATTGTATGATTCTGATGTGCCCATGGCACGCAACTCTGGACATCGAACTGTGGTCCCTTAGACGTACCCCAACCAAGGTTAGATGCCACAGGCATACTTTTATGTACTGTGCATTCTTTAGCCACATATTTCTCAATACATATACCCACAAGAGACTCTGATGCATAGATGTGGCTTGGCCAGCCTGGTTGTTTGAAGATTTTAAGGAGAGCGTGTGTGCATGATTCTCGCCCTGTGGGTGGGTGTTTCAGTTATTGTTCCACAGTGACCTTTACTGTCCTTAGATGTGACTGAAGGGATCAGGTGTTGAGACTCAGTTACTTGGTTGATGTCACCTTTCACTGATGGTTGCACATTTTCAATCAATTGTTTGTCAGATCAAGGCTAAATTCTATACAGGCCGCTGTCATATAACTGGAATATTGCTCATTTTGTGGCCTTACACAACAAACAAACATGTATTGTTTGTGTGTAGAAATGTTCATTACTTATTATAAAGCTAAAGATAGCTAAAGATAGCTCAATTCCATACTCAATCATTCACTCACTCCAATAATACCTGTTTTCTGTATATCTAATGAAGCCTGTTGCTCAAGCTTCATTTTATACACTGCCATATATTTTGTAAGGACATGAATAGGAAGTATGACTTGATACTATCATGGAACTTGAAAACAACAGTTTAGTCATATTCCACGAACAAATCTTTATTTTCACATTGTTGTACTCTACAAATATTTCTATATAAACGGTAAGCATACAACAATTATAAGAGAAATATTCACAGATAAATCCAACTGTCAGAAATATCCCACGAAATGTATGATGAAACAGCAACACTTGTATGTATGTGCCAAACAAGATTTGATAGACAAGGTTCCCAAACTGAACAAGTGTAATGGTTCATTTCCATTCAGACAAATGTAAATGTAGACTGCTTGGTGCCATTATATACAAGGGTGAAATCATACTACATATTGTGTTTGTAGTTATATATTATATCATAGTAAAATGTTTGACACCAATGTACATCACTGAATTTATGAAATACAAACTTCACAACAAGAGTCACTAAAGTAAGCACTGTTTTCATTGCCAGGACACTAATAATAATTAAAAACAATAGATGAAAACGATCTACTTATCTAAGAACACAGATGAGAAAGAAGGTAGGGGCATAGTAGCAGCTGAGGAACTGGCATCACATATTTGCAGCACATCACTGTGGTGTTCCTCTTCAACCTCTTCCTCATCACTGCCAGCTTCCGTAGATTTGACAATTGCGTCTGAGTCATACATTGAGTTCAGTTCAGACTGTAAAAGCTGGCTACAGTCGGGATCAAAGCTCGCCCAATTAATATCGACTAGTTTTGGATGCCTCTTTGGCACAACAGAACCATTAAAGTCAACTGACCCCATGCCGTTGTCAAAACTATGACTCAAGAAATCTTCCAAGCTACCAGCTGGAGATACTCCGTCCCATGCTTGGACCAAACGCACTCGTTCATTGGGAACCTTGGCATTTGCATGTGCAGCCTGGTTACTTGGGAGAGAGTTTTGTCGAGGAGTCTTTGTGTATAAATTCGGCATGGATCTTCGTTCATGCATTGCCATCAAAACATTTGACTTGCGAAGTTTTGGGAAAGATACGTCATTTCTTTGTACGTGTATCCGGTTTGAGTTTTCTTGGCTGAGTCCGGTATTGATTTGCAAAGCTTCCACTGACGCTGAGCTTCGTTTAAGCCCATTCAGACCAAAACGAACATCACTGAACTGGATGTTCCTGGTGTCATGAAGCCCAGGATTATCGAAGCTATTCAGATGGGTCTCCTGCAATGCGCAAGCCAAATCGAAAGAGCTTTGTTTAGTCGCAAACCTTTTCTGCTTTGAAGACTGATTTGCAAAGTGTTCCCAGTTTGAACCGTTACATCTCTTCTGATCTGCATATATGAGCCCCGATGGGTCTATCCGTTCCCCGTGTTCTCCAGATATTCCGACACACCTTCTTCCCAGAGCTCGCATATCCTCAATATAGTTTTCTTTGGGCGATGGTTGGAAAGCACTATCCCCAGTAAGATTATCCAAACACTGCGTTTTGTCCAGTTCCGTGACGAGCTGAGAAAGGAGGTCAATGTCATTTGGGCTATACTCCACATTCTGAACCTGGAGATGCGGGGGAAGTTGACTCCCTTCTCGTGCTAATATAGGCGGAGGAGAGTACCGCCCTTCATTTTCTGGGATGCCCAATACAAGCGGCATCCTTCTCTTTGAGGCGACGTCCATCTGCTTCTGACAACGATTGGCTGTAAAGTTGGAGACGCTATGGGGTACAGGAGGGGGGAGGTGGCACCCGACAGGCATCCTGTTTACAACCTCATCTAACGTACGAGGAGCATTTCTGTGTGTGTACGTGAACTGTGTTCCGGTCATCTGGGAGTACATCTCTCGCCTGTGGCCCTCCGTCTGAAAGTGGGTCTGCGAATCAGTATATGAGGACGCTGCAGGGCGGGGTACCGATCCTTGCTGAGGGTTCATGTTAAACTGTCCCTGCCATTCCATCATACCACCGGCCGAATCGTCATTGTATTCTCTACACATGTTAGGACTCCGGTGGAGATTCTGTTCCCACTGGGTAAGATGCTGATCCTGAAAGACCCCATGCTGCGTCGGATCAGGAATCCCCAAGATCTCGCTGAGGATTTGCGGCTGGGCAGCGAATCCACTTTCCCACTGATCAGGATGACTATTCTTGGGCTGTTGGGGAAATTTGCTACGACGACGTCGGGTGTGACATTTATACCGTCGTTGTTCTTTAACGACTGATTGATTATCTAACATCTGCTTCTGAAGGAATTTGCTGTGATCGATCTTCTTGTCTTCCAGTGGGCGTTCCAAGGCTGCCCGAACTGACTGCGTGGCGTCGTTCATGAACTGCAGTAGCGACTCTGGAGTGTCCCGGTTCATTCTTATATTTCAGTGATCTGACAAATAAACCAAAAGTATAATGACATTATGATTCCTGTTGTTAAAATATTAAAGGACTTAAGAATTTTTATAGTGATAAAATCAGGTTAGGTTTGTTTGTTCTTGGTCGTCGGCTTACCCTTGCAAAGCATATACCTTTGTTATGAAAGTTATCAGATATTCTCTAAATATACGTTTTAAATAGAGACTTGGCTCGGTTCAATAGGCAGTCCAAGCAAATCATCCAAA